GGGGGGGGCGGGGGGGGGCGCTGCGTCCGTCCAGTCAGGCGGCTTCAGGCCACAGCCCGAGGGCCAAGGTCAAAGGGTGTCCGGTTCCTGCTCTATCAGAACAGGTTCTCGTAGGCTGCGCACTGGGGAAAAATGCGGGCACTGTGCGAATGAGTCATAAAGGCAGGGAGGGGCCGCCTGCCCGGGCCGGAGGGCCGAAGGGAAAGGAACCGGGCAGTCCCGGGCCACACAGCGAGGTTTCCGTCAGTGACAGGCCACATAACGAAGGTGGTCCCATGGGATTATAACGGAGCTGAATTTCCCGTAAGAAATGAAGGATGCACGGTTCAGGCGGATTTTTTTTCTCTGACGGGAGCCGTATCAGCGGGGTCTGGCAATAGGTCCCCTCTCGCTCATGGCACCTTGATTCTGAGTCCCCAGGTTACGTCCCAGTCCGTCAGCCACCGGCCTGGGTCAGCACCGAGGAGCCCGCCCCCCGGCGCTGCATTCAGAGGGCGCTGCAGCCCCCCAGGCCCGGCCGATGGGCTTCAGAGAGCATGGCTGTGAATTCCTGGTTGAGGACCTAAGGTCCTGTACAAGGACACAGGTCCAAGGGAGCCGCCTCAACAAGTACTGAGTGCCACTGCCACTTGAGGTAGAGTTTCCTGTGGTCCTGCGGGGCCAGCCTGTGCCTGGACTTTGGAAACACTGTCAGGTTGTAAAGCACAGATAAGTTTTATTTCTCCCATCAGTTCAATGCCAGAGAGGGTCAATGGAGCCCAAAAATAAGTTTCCAAAGTCAAAGTACTGAGTCCTCAGGTCCACCCTCTCTCCATGCTAAACACCCTGTTTTTTTCTGAGCACGGCCACAAAGCTCCGTAATCCAGCCCCTGCTCCGACAGGCAACAGCCAAAGCCATGACCGTGGCAGCCCCTACGTTCCTTACCCTCCCGTCCTGATTCCTCACTCCTGCTGACCCTCAGGCCCCCTCTCACTGCCTCCTGACTGTCACCGTCACGGTGGCCTGCTCCTCCCTGAGCCAGTTTCTCCTCGGTGTTTCCAACCCGTCCAGCCCGCATCCCGGTTCGTGGAGCAGCGTCGACAGCTCTGTGTTCTGGCTCTGACCCCGTCGGAAGGAAGCCGGGGGAGGGACAGTGTTGAGAAAGTCTGCGGTTGTGTCCAGCGATGTCCTAGGGCTGCATTCGCACTCACCACTCACTGACTCCCCAGAGCAACTCCCAGTCCTGCAGGCTCCATTCACGGTCCGCGCCCTGCGCGGGTGTTTCGTTTTCTAAAATCGTTTATACCGTATTTTTACCGTCACTCTTCCACGTTTAGGTACGTTTAGACACACAAATTCCGCTGTGTTACAGCTGCCTCCAGCATCCAGGGCAGGAACACGCTGTGCAGGCTTGTAGCCTGGGAGCCACAGGCTGCACCGCAGAGCCAGGTGTGGAGCGGGCCGTGCACCCTAACGTTCGCACCAGGACAAACGGCCCAGCCCCGAGTTTCCCAGGACGTACCCCGTCATCCAGCAGCACGCGGCAGGAACAATAATGAAATCAGCAGCAGCTGAGACCATGGGTCAGACCCTAGACTCATCCCCTCCTCACAGCCAGCCTTCAAAAACGATTAGCCCACCTTCTCCGAGCCTCAGAGAGGTTAAACAATTTGCCCGAGGTCACACAGCTCTAAGCGGCAGTGCCAAGATTCACAATCATGCCTGGCTGACGTTGCTGCCCACCTCCTGTCCCTGGCACCACACCCGCTCTCACAAAGCCGGGGCCCTGGGGGCTGCTCCCCGGGCAGGGCACTCAGGCCAGAGATGAGCATC